TCATCATCCAACTCTACAATCAAGAGACACTTTTATCGATATACAGTCAATGCAGAGGGTTTCTGGAAAACATCTAAAAAATGCTCGACTGTTCCAACTTTCATAGCATCCCGTGTCTTTCATGTGTGGAATTGGTGATGGAGGTGTTGTCATGGGCAGGTACAATTCGAGCTCACAAGTGTTGAATGTTGATCTGACTATTGACAGGAAGGCATTTTATCGTGCGGACAAACAATAGATCAAAACATAATCACAAAAGCCTGATCTCAACCCAATAATGAATTCAGGCTATTTAGCGGAATGTCGATGATCATTTTGAGTTAAAAAAAAAAAAAAAACTATTTAGCGGAATGTCGATGATCGTTTTGAGTTAAAAAAAAAAAAAAAAATTTAAAAACCTGGTTATATTTCTAATTGAATCACCTTGTCTAAATGCTATTTGAGTCAATTGAAATGTTATCAATCTACATAAAACTGCTGCAATTCCTGAAATTTAATTTGATATTTTTTTCTTCTTAACCCTTTCATGCACCAATAATAACCGGTAACCTGATTACTTGATAAGGTGTCCACTGTCGTAACCGCTGCCCCCCAAAGGGTTAAAGCAAATCAAAATGAAATATTACAAATCTTAAGTGGTAGTCAAAAGGCAAAATCATGAAAACTATCAACAATCGTTGCGAGTGTTGTCCTCTTTTATAGCAAATCTGACCGCACTCATGCTCTTGTTCAAATTCTATACTATAAGCTTATTAATCATTGTCTGTAAGCTCGCTCAGAAAGATTCTATTCGATAACTTTATGCATTAGATTTGCAGAACTGCCACGATTTCATTCGTCTTCATTTCGGTTCAGTGCAGACCTTTTAGCTTTTTTTTAAACTTAAACATCAGCCCTCAAAACACAAAATAAAAATACATCAATAAAGGCAACAGCAATACATTAGCAGATAAACATACATTTTCAGCGAAAAGTGTGCAGTACTTCGTTTTGTTTGTAGCGGTAGAGTTCAACCAGGTCAAACGTATTAAAATTTGGAGGTGGCAGAGCCACATTTTGGTGAAAAATATGCACCAAAATTCAAACAATGTTTGGTCCTCATACACTGTCAGCATAACGCATGAGAATTCAGTTGATTTAAGACTGCTGCTTTTCATTTGGCTTTTAGTGGGAATGAAACAAAAAAGGTGGCACAGTTGGTACCTGGATGTTACAATAAGTTACAGTAGGCGGACTCCTATTTGAAGCAGAAAATTGACTTTTGTTCTTTGTTAAGGAGTGTTTCGGTGATATTCCGAGATTATCGCTTCTAGCCATGTGGATCACTGAGGCGAAACATCGGTTCTGCTAAGGAAGGTTTAGCGCTGCCAGCTGGCTTATTTAGAAAAGTGTCTAATTCCTGTTGTGGTTTTATTGTCACGGTCTTGGTAAGACTCTCATTTGCTAAAGACCAGCCTTGTTTGGGGAAAATAATAAACTTTCATTTGGATCTTCTGTGAATGTTAATGTGCATTCTGTTTCTGTTGTTTGAGAACGAGGAGCAATTAGTAAAGCGTAAAACTGCTGTTAGCTTCTCACACTAGCTGTTAGCTCAGTGGCCACTTACATAGATGGCAATGATGAAAAAAGCGGAAAGGGCGTGGCTTGGCCGGGGGTGTGGTTACTTATAAAAGTGGCACTAAACATGCTGAAGATAAAGTGGATTGAATTTACACACTATTTGAAAATTGAACAGAAAAAATCCCAAGATCGCCACTATTCTTTCAAGTGAAAAGTTGTGCAATTTTGCTTATGCATTCCTGGTGAGCATATGTAACTCCAGATTTGCTGCTCAAAATCAAAACTAAAAAAGTATACACATTCCCTGCCATATTTAAGATAGTTTGGAGCCGACTTGTGCACATTTTGAACATGACGTCTCTGATCCACTGGTGAAAGGACACTTTGATTATCTCCTCTTTCATTTAGAACTGCTTCAAAAAACAAAGCGTTTGAGGGAAAAGTGGTTAAGATTGCACGACTGTCCGTGTTTTTATGTTATATGTTGTGTTTATTATTTTACTTTATGCTGTTTTGTAAAGCCCTTTGTTACAGCTGCAGCTGTTGTGAAAGTGCTATATAAATAAAGATGTATTGTATATATTGTGATTTATTGTATTGTACTGTATATTGTAATGATGACCCGTGTGAGGCCCATGAACTTGAAGGGACTCAGATGGGGCCGAACATCGGCACTTATTTTATAGTTCTGGACTTAAACATGTACAACTGCGATGGATCATCACCACTCATGCCTACTCATCACAATATTTAGGAGTTCATGGACATTAGATAGGTGCTCTCTAAGCAGAAAAAATCACTTTGTGTCCGAAAAACTATGCCCAATCATCACGAACATTTATGTGCACAGCTCTAATCAAGCTCTAATCATGCCCATTTTCGACCTCTTAAAATAACATAACGATTGTCCCAATATTTGGGGATTTTATGGATGCAAATGTAGTCTTTTCTTTCTTACGAGGAAAAGGCTTAATGCCCATAAAACCAGCATTTAGCGACATCGTGTGTTTTTTATTTATTTTTTAATTAAGTGGTTTTGACTTTGCCTCCACAGCCAGCGCGTTGTGATTTTATTCAGAGGTTGAAGTGGGACTAAGTGAAGATGTCCACAGAAATATTGGTGATGATTGATCGCAGTTTTTGAACCTAAGTGACATCAGCGTTTTAGAATGTCCTCAATGTTTCCAGTTACTTCGCTGACATCACACCAAGGCATGGGGACGGGGAGGAGGGGTAGATATCAATTCAGCCGATGAAAAAAAGGCATTCCAGGGGCACTTACTTACAGATGGCTCAGAAACGGATCCCTAACAGAAATTAATGCCAATTTATTATTCCTGAGCAAGAAATACATAACGTGAGTTTGTTTGTGAAAACGTAACCACCTTGGGTCAGTAGTCCCTTTCAAGCCACTTCGAGCCATCATTATCATTATGCAGTAAATAGTATCCGCTGACTAAGTTTGTTTGAAAAATGCCGATCCCAAAGAATAATTGCTCCGTCGAATGGCGATTTTGTCGGCATGTTTTTTCACTTTTGTTGCATGATCTGTCAGTGCCACGCATCCACGTTAATTAAGTCACTACAGTACACACAATAATCTTTGCCTGCTACGTCTGGTTTCTTCAAAAATTGTCCAAGAGCTTTTGTAACTTCGTCGAACTTGGAACCAATTTTAACCTTTACAGTGACTTTTCTGTCAAGCCAGTCCCATCGGAATTTATTCTTGACATTTGAGTCAATTTCTAGGATTCAAGACTCCTGATCTTTCGTCAAAAATTTCATAATTCCGCCCAAAACGATCCCAGAACAATGAATTTGCGAGACGAACAGGCCGCCATGAATCAGGTAAAACAATATGTTACATGCAATTTGATTGGTCCAATCGCTTGTAGTTAACCAATCGCTGGGATGTTTCTAATCGAGCTAAGACTTCCGCAACAAATAATGCCTTCAGTGATCTGATTAGTTGAAGCTTTCATACACGTCCAATCGCAGGGCTGTTTACAAACGGAAAACGGAGGGACTGTTCGGGAGAGCTCGTGAAAACTCGACGATAAGGTACCTTTCTCAATGGATTTAAACGATTCACAAAAATGATCAATTTAAGAAATAAAACGGCGGATTTCCGCGGATCCGCGGAAAATTGCCATCTATGCACTTAGTGGTTAGCTGCTGTCTTTGTCACTCGGGATCAAAAGGTTAGGTAGAGTGTTTTATGTGTGTATTTGTAATCATTTGATATTTGTGTGAATGTTGGTGCGGCTGAATGGATGGCTTGTGGATCAGAGGATGAGGCGAGAAGAGTGTCAGCAAGGAGCGTGGATGCGTATTTGGAACTGAGAGTCGCCGGTTGGAGTTGAAGCGGATTTACATGGGGCAGGACAAGTGAACCAATCTCTTTTTATTGTCAATGGACGCTACAGCTTCTTGTTTACTTTCAAACTTAGTTTAGAGCCGACTTGTGCACATTTTGAACATGAAGTCTCTGATCCACTGGTGAAAGGACACTTTGATTATCTCCTCTTTCATTTAGAACTGCTTCAAAAAACAAAGCGTTTGAGGGAAAAGTGGTTAAGATTGCACGACTGTCCGTGTTTTTATGTTATATGTTGTGTTTATTGTTTTACTTTATGCTGTTTTGTAAAACCCTTTGTTACAGCTGCAGCTGTTGTGAAAGTGCTATATAAATAAAGATGTATTGTATATATTGTGATTTATTGTATTGTACTGTATATTGTAATGATGACCCGTGTGAGGCCCATGAACTTGAAGGGACTCAGATGGGGCCCAACATCAGCACTTATTTTATAGTTCTGGACTTAAACGTCCAACTGCGATGGATCATCACCACTCATGCCCACTCATCACAATATTTAGGAGTTCATGGACATTAGATAGGTGCTCTCTAAGCAGAAAAAATCACTTTGTGTCCGAAAAACTATGCCCAATCATCACGAACATTTATGTGCACAGCTCTAATCAAGCTCTAATCATGCCCATTTTCGACCTCTTAAAATAACATAACGATTGTCCCAATATTTGGGGATTTTATGGATGCAAATGTAGTCTTTTCTTTCTTACGAGGAAAAGGCTTAATGCCCATAAAACCAGCATTTAGTGACATCGTGTGTTATTTATTTATTTATTTATTTTTTAATGAAGTGGTTTTGACTTTGCCTCCACAGCCAGCTCTTTGTGATTTTATTCAGAGGTTGAAGTGGGACTAAGTGAAGATGTCCACAGAAATATTGGTGATGATTGATCGCAGTTTTTGAACCTAAGTGACATCAGCGTTTTAGAATGTCCTCAATGTTTCCAGTTACTTCGCTGACATCACACCAAGGCATGGGGACGGGGAGGAGGGGTAGATATCAATTCAGCCGATGAAAAAAAGGCATTCCAGGGGCACTTACTTACAGATGGCTCAGAAACGGATCCCTAACAGAAATTAATGCCAATTTATTATTCCTGAGCAAGAAATACATAACGTGAGTTTGTTTGTGAAAACGTAACCACCTTGGGTCAGTAGTCCCTTTCAAGCCACTTCGAGACATCATTATCATTATGGAGTAAATAATTCCAAATGTACACACGGAACATGTAATTCGAAATGGAATTTGCACTAAGTCAACAGGAACTTGTGTTTTGAAAGTTATTCAATTTGTAGATTAACTTGCGTCACAGACTGGGCACATTGTGGTCAAACAGGTGTCACTACTTGTAACACATTGGAAGCTATGTGAAGCTTGTAAATTAGATCAAACAGCTGCTGTATGTACTGTCATGCTAGTGAAAGGAGAGTATGAGGAACTGGAAAAATGAATTGCGCTGACTTCAGTAGTACCCATTCATAAAATTTGGTGTTAGTGTGTTCTTCAGCTGAGAAGCTCCAGGTATGTGATCGGCACTTTTCCTTTTTGGTCCCCCTTTTCACCAACTAGCCAGTCACAGTCCATTCCTGGGATTGTGTAAACAGTAATAATCTGCAACACAAAAAAAAACAGGTCACTTGAAGGTTTGTATGTGATAATGACAGAGATAAAAAAGTGACTCACTGAGGAAATAATATGCGACATAATAACGAGAGGTTTATTCAGGATGTTCCAGGTCTCTTTTCAAACCAAATCATTTAGTGGTCCTGTCAGTGTGGGGTGTGTGTTTTCCCTGGTTTTGTGTGGTTTCTCTCCAGGGAGTTTAGGTATCGGTACTGCTTTGTTAGGTTCACTTCAAACTCAATATTGCCCAAAGCTCTTAATGTATGAATGGTCTCCATGCATCAGTCCCTGTCATTGACAATGTGGACACCACACCATAAATGAAGAAAAGTGCAAATGGTTTTCCCTTGTGTTTTTTTAAACCCTTCATTTTCTGATCCTTTCCACATGTGGAAAAATACAAACATTCATTGGAAAATGAGTTCATTTTTCCATTCGTCTCAGCATCAAAGAAGCTCTGTCAATGCACTGTCGTAACGCTGAAATTACATTTTCCACATGTAATGGGAATTTGACATATAACAGCGTCAAATGGAAGTAATTGTTCGTACTATTCAATGCTGATCAATTATTTTGGCGGATAAGCAAAGTTGCCTGCACATGCACTAGTCTGTACTCTGTGTAGCTGCTCAAAATGCTGATTGCGCTGACCTTCACCACCTCCCAACAAGATCCCAAAAAAAAAAAAAGGAGGGCACAAGACCCGGGGGGGGGGGAGGGCTCCCTTGACAGATCTGTGAACAGTGTCCCCCCATGTTTTTTTTTTTTTCTTTCTCGAATAAATCTCATCATTTTTTATAATACTTGTTGTCTTAGCTTCCCTGGACAAGACACACACATGGAAAAACCAAGCCAGTTTCACCCTAATATCTAATTTTGTTTTCCTAAGAGCGCAGACATTTGACTTTCAACAGCACCGCATTTTCCGCACTATATGGCACACCTAAAAACATCCAATGTTCCCAAAAGCCGGCAGTGCGCCCTATAATCCGATGCGCTGAATATAAAGAGACTCTCTTTAGATTCCCCATTGAGCTGTTTCCCCGTTAGTGTTCCAATGCCATCTAGTGATGATAATTGGAAGGAACCAATTGTAAGCTAAAAGGATTCTGCCCGACACTAATTGACATGTGCATTCGCCAACACACACTCAACAGATAATTATTTTGTGAGCTCTGCGCAGCCATTACTAAACGACGATAATACCACCAGCATCGTTAACGACTGACTAAACGAAGGAAGAAGCAGACAAGCAAGACTTCTCAGGATATTTAGCCCTTTGTGGATGTAAGCCCACGAATTTTTTGTGCATTTTCCTTGAATCAATTGTCTTCAAAACTTTTGTCTTTCATTTATTGTTTTGTTGTGCCATTTGTATTTATACGTTTCATGGCCATGTTTGTCACCAGTTCTTATTGTTATCGCTGCAGTATTGAGGCGGCCCGGTTGGTGACTGGTTAGCGCGTCGGCCTCACAGTGCACGTGCAGAGTATGATTCCGGCTCCGGCCTTCCTGTGTGGAGTTTGTATGTGCTCCACATGATTGTGTGGGTTTTCTCCGGGTACTCCGGTTTCCTCCCACATTCCAAAAACATGCATGGCAGGCTGATTGAACACTCAAAATTGTCCCTAGGTGTGAATGTTGTTCGTCTCTGTGTGCCCTGCGATTTGGCTGGTGACCGGTTCAGGGTATACCTCGAAGACAGCTGGAATAGGCTCCAGCACCCCCCGTGACCCTTGTGAGGATAAAGTGGATCGGAAAATGGATGGATGAATGGATGTTAAACGATAGCATGAGTTACATAATGATAGTCACTGTGTTCTCAATGACTAGCCCAGGGGTGTCAAACTCAATTTTGTTGCGGGCCACATTGTAGTTACCATTTCCCTTGGAGGGCCATTATGACTGTGAAACTTGATCAATAAGTCAAGAATAATGGTTTATTCAACTATTGTTGAAGTAACTCAAATGAAGTGATTGGTAACAAGAAAATGCTGACAATATTCTCTTATTTATGACATGAGAATTTGAAATTTTGGAATAGATTTTAGCAAGCATCATGGAAGTTGACATGTTTGATTTGCTTTCGCAGGCCACAGAAAATGATGTGGCGGGCCAGATCTGGCCCCCGGGCCTTGAATTTGAGAGCTTTGGACTAGCCAATAGCTTTGGCTACATCAACAGGTCGGAAGCGCTCGACAGTGAAACCAGGACATTATGAGATGATTATCAACAGACCTGCTTTACAAGTGCAGTAAAAAGTTTGTAAGCATGTGTCCGCCTACACAAATGTGTAATTTTGCTTCCTTGGGTGAGGCTCGAGGGACCAGGGTCAAAACAGGAATGAGGATTGTAATCATATTAAACATGACTCACGCCCACACACTTTCCACTGTGTGTCTGTGTTGCAAATGACGACCGGGAATTGTTTGAATTACGCAATGAACGACTCCAGGTGTGTGTTAGGTGCCATTCTAGATAATTGACATGTCAGGGCAACTGTGCAGCACATGTCTTGCAAGATGTTAGATTCGGTGGTCTCTTTGGCGCATATACAAACCAATTTCACTGACGTTGGAACGGTGTGAATACAATGATTTGCAAATCATGTTCAGCCTATATTTAATTGAATACACTACAAAGACAAGATTTTTAATGTTCAAACTGATCAAGTTGATTATTGTTTTTAGCAAATAGTCTTCGAATCTTCAAATTTTATGGCTGCAACGCGCTGCAAAAAGCTAGGACAGGTGGCAAAAATAGAAATGAATTTGAGGAATGCTAAACATCTGTTTGGAACATCCCACAGGTGAACAGGCTAACTGAGAACAGGTGGGTGCAATGATTGGGTATAAAAACAGCAAAGGCATCTGGCCCGGATTCGGCATGAAGCTGGCACAGCTAGCCTTGTGTCGGCACTGGTATAATGCATGTGGGCCGAACGCGGCCCAGGAGTGGCAAAGGAGGCACTGGCTTGACTCTGGCAAACCAGATGAGGGCCAGTTGTGGAGTGAAGTATTTGGGCCAGAAATCAATTTACAACTCCGGCCCGTATATACACACATTTGCACACGCACGTACTCATTCTTGTGCACGCTCGCTAGTGCGCACATACAAATTAAACGTGGTCAAGTAAGATTATGTTGAAGTCGACTGGCGTCAGCAAAAGAAGGTACAAGTACAAGTTTTGAATTTTCGTGTTTTTTGTTTTTTTTCCTCGTACGTACAGTACTTTAATGTACAACAGTCCAAGTATTGCTACACTCCGATACAGTAGGTGGTGATGCACCACAAACGTTAGCGGCCACCCGCCAATTAGGAAGAACAAGAACAAGAAGAAGAAGCAAGAAGAACAGCGCTCGCAGCCTCGCGCGGTGGGATTCCTCCGAGTAGCGCGAGTGGGGAACGTCGGGGCTTTTGGGCCCCTGACGCGGTTAAATGCCCACCAGCCAGCGGGAAAGGAGATGGGGTCTCACCGGAATGTGAGGCGCCCAGTGCTCACCCTGCCGGAACGGAGGGGAGTTGGAGTAGCCGCCCCACAACCCTCCTGAAACAATAATCAGGCGAGGGCCCTGCCGGGTTCCTCACTGGGTGTGAACCTCGCGAGGCACCAGCCGATTGCCCCGGAGGAGGAG